GCCTTCCCGCTTCTGCCCTGGTCAGGCCGCCCCCGCGTTTACTCGCTTGCCGCCGCCCGTGGCGCCCGCCCGCGGCCCTCATTCTCCCAGAGGCCGTGGGAGGGAAGGTGGCATTAGAGGGCGCTTCCGTGGTCGTAGAGCTAAATCCCACTTTCCCCAGTCTCTTAAATAGCTTTCGCCACGGGTGACTCCCCGACCTCATTTTTAACTTTGGCCCTTGATTCAGAGCTGCAAATCTGGGAGCACAAGTCCTTCGGTCAGCCCCATCCGTCCTTCATCTTTGTTCTTGTGGAAACCGTTGGTTTTCACAGTTCTCCACGAGCCCTGGGCTAGTTGCTGGGCCTGGATAGCTTTTTAGGAAAAAGGTGTGTTGAGGCGCAGCCCTTGGAGAAGCATGTGCATGCTGGCGTTAAGGCCTGGCGATAGCTGCAGGTGGGACCTGAAAATTGGCCTCAGCGTTCTGTGAGTGATCTGTGGTGGTAACAGCAGACCTCTGAGGACTGAGAGCGTGTCTTCCGCCGATAAGGGCTTGCTTTGTGTTCGTTATGGTTAAGACTTCGTGTTCTCATTACTGTTACCTGTGTTCTCAACTTTGGTTGTACGGCTCTGGTATCCTCTGTGTGAGTTTCTTACTTTTTTTTTTAAGGACATGGCCATTTGTAGTATGGAAATGCTCTGAGGTATGAGATGGAGTCACGAAGGAATTGGAGACTTACCACTAAAATATAATGGCAAATAGAATTTATCAGGTGACTATCACCTAATTCTTATGTCTGAAGTTTTATAAATATTACATAAATAATTACATCTACTTAAAGTATTTTATTTAGTCTTCATTGATGCTACAAAAATTAAAAGAACTAAAGGCAGTGTGGGTTATTTTAAACAGATTAAAAAACAGCTGTTTAGTCGTTTGTAAAAAATAATTTTAAATGTAGAATCCTCGTTTACGTGGATTTTTTTTTTTTTTCATGTCAGGATCCCCTAGAGCTTACGTTTTGTCATGGGTTAGGGCTGGGCTGTCAACTAACAAGTGGAATATTTAATAGTTTTCAAAATTAATACGAACATAGGTGATGTGGTGGAAATAGGTGAGGGAAAATTGCAATGACCAACTTGGATCAAATAACATTGTTTACACCAATATCAAAGAGAGACTTTTTTCTAGAATACAGTGACACTGAAAAAGAAAAAATAATTAAGATACTTTGATGGTGTGATTTTAAAAATTAGAAAGCCAGTTGATTCTTTATTCCTCTCTTTTGGTATGGTAACCCCTGGCTCATATAGTCATGGGCATAAATGCAGAAATGAAATTAATTTCTTATGACCACTGCTAAACAGGCAAAAACTGTCAGTATTCAGCTTTGGTTTGGTATTGGGTTCAAGTAAGTAAGCTGTTCTTCCACATTTCACCTTTCAAGATGGGACTGTTTGGCAGAATTTCAGAATAGTTCATGGAGATCATCTAGTCCAACCTCTGCTCAAAGCAAGGCCAGCTAGGCCGGATTGCTCAGGACCTTGTCTAGTAAGGTCTTCAGTGTCTTCAAGGATGGAGATTCCACAGCCTCTCTGGGCAACATGTTCCTACAATCACTCACCTTCACAGTAAAGAAACAACCAACCAAGCAAAACACCTCCCCTCCCAATCTCTCCCCCGCCACCAAAAAAACCCCAAACAACTCCCAACAAAACAACCCCAAACTTATGTTTAAAAAGAATTTCCTGTATTTCAGTTTGTGCCCATTGCCTTTTGTCTTTTCCCTGGGCATCACTGAGAAGAGCTTGACTTTTCTCTTTGTTCCCTCGTATCACATATTAATACACATTGATAAGATCATCCCCGAGCCTTTCGTCCTCAAACTGAACAGTCACAGCTCTGTCAGCCTCTCTTTCTATGTCAGAAGCTCTGGTCCCTTTATTAGTTTTGTGTCCCCTCTCTGGACTTGCTCCTGTATATCTATGTCTTCCTTGTCATGGGGACCCCATAACTGGATGCAGCACACCAGGTAAGGCCCCACCAGTGCTGAGCAGAGGGGAAGGATGACCTCCCTTGACCTCCTGGTTTCCTAATGCAGCCCAGGATGCTGTTGAGCTGCTTTGCTGCCACGGCTCATTGCAGGTCCTGTTCAACTTACCCGCAGGGATCCCAGCTCCTTTTCTGCAAGGCTGCTTTTCGTAAGGTTGCCCCCCAGCCTGCACTGTTGCATGGGCTTATTCCTCCCCAGGTGCTGGACTTTGCATTTCGCATTGTCAGACCTCATGGGATTCTTGTTGGCCCGTTCCTCCAGCCTGGGGAGGTCCCTCTGAATGGCTGCACAACCCTCCTGTGTTTCAGCCGCTCCTCCCAGCTTGATGGAATCGACAAACTTGCTGCATGTGCAGTCTGTCACATCATCTAGGTCGTAAAGGTGTCAAACAGCGCTGGACCCCGTATCACCCCCAACAGCATACTACTAGCGACTGGTGAACATTGCACTGAGAGAACACTGCAGTGTTCCTACTAGTGTACTGTACCAAGATACCTTTTTCTGAAAAATAAAAATAAATTAAAAAAAAAAAATGCTGCCTTGAACCATTTTAAAAATCCATACAACTAAGATTTCAATGGCCTGGTCACAGTTTCCTATTCTTACCTCCTTAATTTTCCCTGTACAAATATTCTAGGCTTCTTGCTCTTCCCTTTTCCTTCACTCTAAACAAAGTGTCAGCGGGCATTCCTCCATTCTTTGCACTTGCTTCACTGTGAATAAACCCAGCATGTTTATTAATGCAGGCCCAACACTGATTCCTGTAATGAAGGCTTTACTACCTCAAGCCATATTTATCATGGGCAGTTACTGCTTTTTCTCCTCTTTAGACACATAATTTGTATGGCTGAAACTCAGAAAATTACTTTCAAGTCTGTAGCATGGCTCCAATTCTTACTGTTTTTTTCATGTATCAGATGATACTGGAAATCGACTTCGGTTCCAGCTGGAGTTAGAGTTTGTTCAGTGTCTGGCAAATCCAAATTACCTCAACTGTGAGTACTTAAAAGTAAATACCAGGTTCCTATATAAGGAATATAGTTTAATAATAAAGAAACTGTATAAGGAATTTAGTTTAATGGTGTTTATTATCACTGGTAATGTTAAACAGGGAGGAGAGGGCGAAACAAAGAAAAGGGAGTGGGTCTTTCATTTGTCTAGATTTCTAACAGGTGGGGGTTTTAAAATGCAAAATGTTTGATTGGTTGAAATGAAAAAAAAATGCATCTGTCTGGTGGAGAAAAAAAACCCAACAGGTTCAAGTCTGTAGTTAAAAAGTAATGTCAAGTTAACAGTAGTCCTTTATCAGAAAACAGAATTTTACTGATGTTAATAATAGTTTCAGGTGCTATACTTAATTCCCTGCCAATTTTGATGCTACAGTCAAAATTTCCTGTTTCAAAAAGCTGTTCTTTTCCTTGCTGTTGTATGAAAGATATACACCGTAAGGGAGATGAGACTAATTTATTACGCCTAGTATGTTGACATAACAGTATTTTTTTCCCTGTGGTTTTTCAATTTTATCAAAATTTGATTGTAATGATAAAGTTTTGACTAAAGTGCCACTTTGTATATTTTTGTGAATACGTATTCTTCAAGTTTGGCAGATTTTTTCACGCATCTGTAGCTGACAATTCCTTTTTTGTCATTTTATTTCAGTTCTTGCACAAAGAGGCTACTTCAAAGACAAAGCTTTTGTAAATTATCTTAAATATTTACTTTATTGGAAAGAACCTGAATATGCAAAATACCTGAAGTAAGTGTTAAAATCACATTTGAATTATTCAGTATTTACCCTCTGTCATGCACTGTACAGCAGCATGTCAGTATTTGATTTCTGCCTGTAACCTTACCTTTGTCCTCCCCACTCTGTTTATATGCAACATAAATTTTCCTGTTTCCAACAGTCCAGATGTAGCAGGAATGGACAAAATTAGAAAACTTGTCTTTCATAAGTCATGCATGCAATCTTCCTTTTGCTGCTTTTATCTGCATTTTACTATTTGTTTAAAATAGAAGTATTGAACATTATGGTACAAAACTACTTCGGTCAGGCCTAGTCAGTACATTTTAAGAATAAGTCTGCATTGTTGATGTTTACACAAAACAAAGGATGACTTTGCATTTTTGTGAGTATGCAAACTCCTTCAAATTTTGGGAAGACAGTTATGTTCTGTAAGTGAGCTCTGAAAACAGGTATTGTAGTTGTTATGTATTCGCTTTGATACAGTCTAGCCAGTGGAAAAGCTGCTCTAAGGAAGCTTATAAACAGTTACTGGACTCATCGTTTTCTAGCCTAATACTGAAGTTATTAAGTTACAGTGTGTGGAGTATGTACAGTCTCAAGTGGTTTGATACTTGAGTAAAGCACATACATGATAAAAAAAAAACCCCACATTTTAGTAACAAACTGCAGAGTTATTGGAGACTCCAGTTTTAGTGAACCTTGTAAAAACTTATATTAATGTTTATTTTCAATCCAGGTATCCTCAATGTTTGCATATGTTAGAGCTGCTCCAATATGAACATTTCCGCAAAGAACTGGTAAATGCTCAGTGTGCTAAATTCATTGATGAGCAACAGATTCTTCACTGGCAGCACTATTCACGGAAAAGAATGCGCCTCCAGCAAGCACTTGCAGAGCAGCAGCAACAAAACAACACCTCTGTGAAATGAAGAACACTTGGAAGCATGATGATAAGGCATACTTTGTGTCAGCTGAAGTATTTACAAGAGAGGAATGAACCCTTTTGTAGGTTTGGCTCTGAGTGTGTGTACAGTTAATTTTTGATTTATCAAGTGACTGGGTTGTCTTTTTTTTTCATCAACTTTTTTAAAGATACAAGACTGATAAACAGCTACTTCTGCAATTTATCTTGTAGCATGGACAATTTTGTAAAGAGCATTACTTACTGCAGTTACTGATTCCTCTTGATTTTGAAAACAGACCATGGTTGTGTTACTTACTGACATGTTAGTATCTAATAAAAAGCGTAGCTCAGAAGTCTGTTCTTAGGAGGCATTTTCCCTGGAGAATAATGACATGTCTCAAAGTGTGGCTAAGAACTCCCTCATGTCCTACTGTTTACAACTGCAGGATGAGCAAAGTTGAAGTGATGATATTGTACAAAATCTAAACTGCACATTTTTTGCCTTGAAACCAAGCTGAGCTATTACTTGTCATTTCTGTTTACCTGGTAATCATTGTTGCTGGGGGTCTTACAGAGTTTTCCTTACAGCATGTCTTACAGATAGAAATCGAAGTGTGATGAGACAAGGACTGCAGGAGCAGAGACAAGTAATAATAAACTTTGCAGATACCCAACAGAAGGAAATAGGCTGTAGCTGTGTCTGTTCCATTAAAGTTACTTTAATCTTGGTTTTCTGCCAGTGAAATAGTGGCTGCTTTTAGGCTTCTCTACAGTAGGTGTGGTGTGTTACAAAAAAAGGCGTAAATGCTTGCAGTATTGGAGAAGCATTTGCTGTTTGTTCCTGTATTGTTTTTATTGAAGAACACAGATCTTTGCAGCTGTCATGGATTTAGCTTTTTTCTATTTTAGATTGTATTCATGTTCTGCTTCATATCCTTGTAGGAGGAGGTACTGCAACCATTAACCCTCAACACGTGATCAGTGACACCAAGACTATCAGCCTTCATCTTAAACTTAGAGTGCACAGATAAGCCATTAAACATTTACCTGAACCCCTTCAGCAGCTATGTGAAGTCACATTTAGGAAGAATAAGGTTTTGCCTATCCTCCCTGCCCCCCATTCACTGCTAAAGGTATAACTTAGCTAGGTCTTATGCCTCGGTAATTGTAGGCTGCTCTCTCAGTTTATAACATGAGCTCAGCTCCCTTGAAAAGACTTTGCAAATTCAAGTTTATTTGAACATGAAAAGAAAGATAGTTTTTTGTTGCAAGATTTTAGTGGAAGGTTTGGACCTAGAAGTTAATGACATTTATCTTGACTGGTCTGAAGTAATTAACCATGGAGGTTTTAAAAAAGGTTGATTCCTTGAAAGGACACTGCAAATAACTTGAAATTAACATCTTTGTAAATGATTGACTACTGGAGCGTTTAGTCTTCAGTAAACAACATACGCACAAGCTCTGCTTTAAAACATTCTTCTTCAACCAGCTTCTGAGGCTGAAAGAAAAGTTGAGGTATGTTAGGTGCAATTCAAAAACCTGCTCTAGACTAGAGCCATTTGTACATACTAACATGAGCCACAAGCTCCTCAGGGCGGGTGGGGGGTAGGGTGGAACAAGCAAGGTAAGAATAATTTAAAAACGCCTGTGGGTTTTCCGGCCTTCGAAGAGGCATAGCTGAGAACGTTACTGCTAATTTAAATAATATGCACAAGTTAAAACTTGAGCCGTAGTCCGTTCGAAACACGAGTATACTGCAAATAACTTGTTTCACTCCTGTAATTCAGCATTTCAGTTTTTTAAAGTTTGAGGAGCTGCAAGTCAGGAAGCTAACAATATGTTGCTATGAATTTTCCCTACCCCTCAGCCATGACGTGCTAAGTGTACATACTTTATTTACTATATGGTTGTTACAGACAATATTATACCGAGAGCAGAGCGATTCTCTCTTGAGGAACTGTTTGAGCCAGGAAGAATGGATGGGTGGGGGCAGAAAAGCTGTTCCTAACTGCTCTTTTTCAACACAAGAGGGTCTCAGAAAACATGCATGGCTGATTAACTTACAGCCATAAGCTCCTGCCAGTTCCCCATTTAAATGCAGAACGTACAATAAATCACTTACTGTTCCGTATTTGAGCAGTGTAGGCACTCCTGTTAGTTTCAAATTTTTCCTGAACTCATTGTTGGGATCTTTCCAGCTGTTGAGGAAGAAGGGGTTAAGTACAGCTTGCAGAGGTGCAGTTTGCAGTTAGCCTGTTAAAGTTCCTTCAAAAGGAGGATTCAAAGGTCGTTCCTTCCCACCTCCCCAACCCACTTCTCAGACAAGCATGCAGATGGTTTACATTAGGGATGGTGTATGCCTCAAAACTCCAAAAAAATGCTTCGCTCCTTGCAGAAAAGGACAGTTCAGTCAGTTGTTACAACAGGTTAGTTAACCTCCAGTCCATGCATGGCACAGTTGTATCAGTTGTTGGCATTAAAACAAGTACTTACTAGGCTCTGTCTCCTACCAGGCAGTAGATGAATACAGACTCATCAGGCATGTTATGAAGTTCCTTCCTCACGACCGGTTCAGCTAGAGAATAATTTTTAAAATCTATTAGTAGTTAATATTTTTAATGTGCTATAGAATCACATGGATCTACTTTGACCAGCAAGGCTTCTAACTAATGTTTGTCTGCCTTCAGGCAGAGAATGGTATTTTGGTTCGTCTGGTTACCCACAAGCTTTGCAGAATTTATTTCATGCTCAGCATTGAAGGGACTCATCCTTGAGTAAAGGCCAATTTCTGCTTTAACAAGTAAGAAAAATAATCATTGTCTCCTGTCCGTATGAAAGCTCATCGGATCAGCAGTGAGCAGCTGCCATATGTACTCTAGCACATATGATCCAGAAAGTTCTGTGCGGTGTTCCCTGAGGAACTGCCTTCATCTGCTGCTGCCAGGCCCTGACGGGTTGGTCACTTCAGCCTCTTGACGTACAAAGCAGAGGTGAATTAGCTGATCGTAACGGTCACATCTGATTGTTTGCTGGGCCTCTGCACCAGCCTTCGCTGAACAACGTGTTACATCACGCGCTGTTCGGCGGGACGTGGTGCAGAGCCGAGAGAGGCACGGACGGCGAGGAGCA